TTAGCGCAGAGTGATTAGACGAGAGAGATGATGATGCAGAGAGCAGACATGGAAGAAAGAGAGAGTGAGAGAGAGAGAGAAGAGAGACGAGAGCAGTGATTGAGAGAGAAGAGGCAGAGAGTGAGAGAGAGAGAGAGAGAGGTGACATAGACGAGAAAGACAGTAAGGGACAGGAGGAAAGAGAGGGTGACTGAGACGTAGAGAGATGAGAAAGAAGGAGAGGAGAGAAAAGAAGCGACCGAGAGAGAGAATGGGGCAAGAAAAAAAAAAAAAAAAAAAAAAAAAAAAAAAAAAAATGGATTGCCAATCGAACCTCAGGCCAAAGAATAACTGCTTTGTCATTAAAAGATTGTGAATGTTATTCTGTAACCACCTTCTGCCAAAGCCACTTTGCCTCCCTTGCATACGGGGAGCAACTGTAGCCTCAGAGCACGTTGAGCCGAGGAGCACTATAGGCTTGCTTGCAGGTGACCATCTTGCAGCGAAGACAAAATAGCTTAAACATCTACGATGTCGGACATTCTAGAGAGTTCACTCTCATAACTCAGAACATGTACACAGGTAAATGTTACATGATATCGTATCGCTAATCTGACTGACATGTCATACGCACGCATGCACAGGTCAGACAACATAACCTTGCACATACTCACACACGCCACCCACGCATCATACGCATGCCACGCACACACACACACACGTACGCATCCACACACGCACGCACGCACGCAACACACACACACACACACACAGGTGACAAGGCTGGTTAGAGCACGGGAATAGGAGCGGGAGCTTCTTACTTGCGCGCAACCTTTGCGCTGCGCAGCCAGATCTTGCCCAGCTCGGCGTTGAGTCTCGCGGAGTCGCCGGCGTCTGCCAGCTGCAGGATTGTGCGATGCAGGTTCAGCAGTGGCTCCTGCGTGCGCACCGACGTCTGCACGCACAAAACACACGCTGTTTACACGCGCACACACCGACGCGCTCTACACGCACAAACACACGCTGTTACACGCGGCCACACAACGACGTCTACACGCACAAAACACACGCTGTTACACGCACACACACCGACGTCTACACGCACAAAACACACGCTGTTACACGCGCACACACCGACGTCTACACGCACAAAACACGCGCTGTTAACACGCGCACACACACCGACGTCAAATCTACACGCACAAAACACACGCTGTTACACGCACGCACGCACCGAACGTCTGCACGCCACAAGAACGACACGCTGTTACAACGCGGCACACACGACAGTCTACACGCACAAAACACACGCTGCTTACGACGCGCACACAACGACGTCTACACGCACAAAACACACGCTGTTACCGCACACACACCGACGTCTACACGCCACAAAACACCGCCTGTTACACGCTGCACACGACGTCTACACGCCAACCAAAACACGACGCTGTTACACGCGCACACACACCGACGTCTACACGCACAAAAGCATACGCTGTTACACGCGCACACGCACCGACGTCTACACGCACAAAACACCACTGCTGCTTACCACGCCGCACACAACGGACGCTACACGCACAACAAACACACGGCTGTTACACCTGAGGCACACAAACGACCGTCTACACGCACAAAACACACGCTTGTTACAACGCGCACACACCGAGTCTACACGCCACAAAACACACCGGCTGTTACACGCGCACAACACACGACGTCTACACGCACATAACACACGCTGTTACACAGCGCACACACACCGACCGTCTACACGCACGAAACACACACGCTGTTACACGGCACACACCGAACGTCTACACGCACAAAACACACGCTGCTTACACGCGCACACACACGACGATCCTGCTACGCACAAAACACACGCTGTTTTACACGCACGCACGCACCGACGTCTGCACGCACAAAAACACACGCTGTTGGACACCCGCCGCCCAGCAGCCCCGACCGGGGCCCGCGCCCGCCACGTCCCTACCCACCGCACCCCAGAGAACACCGGCCCACTGTTACCGCCCGGCGGCCGCACCCCAAGCCGCCCCCGCGCCACCGCGCCCGCGCCCCGCCACGGCCCACCAGCGCGGCCCCAGCAGCGCCACCCACGACGCACGTCCTCGCCGACCCCGCCACGCCACCGCATCGCAACCGAACCACATTAGCGCTGCACGTTGCCGCCACGGGTCCACCCATCTACAAACCACGCGACCCGCTCGCGTTACACCGGCTTACAGCGGCACACCACACATGCGCACCGAACCCCAATTTACACTCGCGCGGCTCTACACGCACGACCACCGCCCACGCACCGCATGCACCCCGTGCCGTAAAGCATGCCAAAAAGGCCGATGCCCCCGTCTCACGCACACGGCCTGCGCCAGCCGCGCCGGCGCGCCACACGTCGATCGCACGCGCCGTCCGCCGCGCTGTCGACGCCATGCGCACGGACAACACCGCCCTCCGCCACAACTATGATTTATCGATGGCAATGTCATCAATATCAGGAGCTAAGATAATATTAGCGAACTCGCCCTCCGCCCCCCTATAGGGCATTCTCCTCATGCTATGATGATAGGCGGCCGCCTCCACTCCTTGGGCCCGCAGCTGCAACCCCATCCCCCACTCCACGCCGCGCGACCCGACCCCCGCCCGCCGCCCGCACAGACCTCCTCGCGCCCCCCCCCCCGGATTTCTCATCGTCGCTCCTGGGTCACGTGTGCGCTCACTCACCTCTCTCTCTCGATCTACCTCAGTCCGCGCCCTGTTTGCTAAGCAAACAACCTCACGCTAGGTAAAGCAACGACGGACTGTCACCGCTACACCACCGAACCAAATGCGCGGCGCACCAGAGGACCACTCCCGCGACACCCCGTTGCGCCTACCCTAGCGCGCTCCCGCCCCTACTCGCCCACTCAACGCCAGCCTAGCCGCTCCAGACCACCCCACCCGGCGGCCATGCCGCCGCCCACACCACACCCTCATCGCCAGCATGCTCGGGTGGCACCGCACCCGCCACCGTCCGCGCAGCCCGCTGGACAAGGTGTAACCCTCCCGCCTCCGGCCGCTCCAGCCGACCCGCGCTCGTGGCGTCCGCCCGTGCCGCGCGAACCCCGGACCCGGCCCCGTCCGCCCGCCTGCCATGCAGCCCTCTGGCTGGCCACCCCTGGCAGGTTGCAGCAGGCGCCCTCACGCGCCATGCTCCAGCTCGTTATAGCATGCTGCAACCTGCAATTCACGGGGGGGGGGGGTATCTATCGACCGTGCTGCGCGCCGGCCGGGGTCCAGGCCGGCACCAGACTACATGTAAGCTAGGTATGATTATCAGTATGTCTGAAATAATAACAGGCGTCCATCCTCCTCTTTCTCACTCCTCCCTCTCCTCTCCTGTCCCGCTCTCTTTCTGTCTCTCTCTCTCCGTCCCTCTCGTGGCTCTCTCCCTCCTCACCCTCCTGCGCGGGCTCTCTTCCGCTCTCCCCTCTGCCCTGCTCGCCGCCATCTCCTCCGCATCTCTCGCCTCCCTTTCTCCCTTTCTCCCTCTCTCACTCTCACTTGCACTCACTCGGCGCACTCTCACTACTCACTCCCACTCTCACTGCTCACTGCTCACTTCTCCACTCTTGTCTCTCTCGTGCTGCTCTCTCCCCCTCTCTCTGTCTCTCTCCCCCTCTCCCTCTCTCCCTATATCTCTCTATCAATGATCGTTACCTGACAATGTACTCGTATCCGCGCTGGTACGAGCCTCCCTCCATGCTAGCGGCGGACAGGGGGCCCATCTGCTCGTTCCGCACAAACTCCAGCTGCTTGCTGAATTCCTTCTCGTTCTAAACGCACCGAAAACAATCAAATGACTCATGCTCACATTTATAATATTTTCCTCCATATATTGGAGATTTTCGATATCACTACGACTAAAGAAGCGAGTTACGTACGAGTTACGTAACGTTCGATACAATTTTTTAATTTTTTTTTACAATTTAGAATTTTAATTTTATAATTTCTTAGATAGTATTTCGAATTTGCAGATAATATTTGCACATAAACCGGTGCAAAGAAAAACTTGCGACAGTAAAAACAAAGCAAACAACCGACTATCACTGACCTTGCTTCGAGCGGCCAGAAGTATTCGACCGATTCCCACGCTCCAGCCGTGCGACTGAGCGACAGCGCCATCTGACGGCAGGTACGATTCGAGCGCACCCCAGCTCGCCAGTTTCCATGCCGACTCGACCTGGTAGGAGTGCAGGCTGCTCTTCCACTCCGGCCTGTATACACAGCATTTAATTACAGCTCGACAGAGAGGTAGTATGTAAATACAGCACAGACAGAGATATATCATGTAATTACAGAACAGATAGACAGATAGCATGTCTAATTATAGTACAGATAGAGAGATAGCATTGTATTATAGTGCAGATAGAGAGATAGCTTTATCTTACAGTACAGGCAGAGAGATAGCATGTTCAATTACAGCACAGAGAGAGATAGCAAGTAATTACAGAACAGATTGATAGATAGTATGTAATTACAGAACAGATTGATAGATAGTATGTAATTACAGAACAGATTGATTGATAGTATGTAATTACAGAACAGATTGATAGATAGTATGTAATTTAATTACAGAATGAGTAAAGAGATCATCTAACTGCAGCAGAGATAGAGCTCCCACACCCACCTTCCCTACAGTGCCCCCTGGTGACCACCTTCCCCATAGCACACACTACAGTCGCAATCCCCCTCCCCCACGGCGCCCCCTGGCGAGACGTTTCAGCAAGCGGTTACCTCTGTGCGAGCAGACCGTTGACGTAGAGCAGTGCGCTGTGTGGCTGGCTGAGCTGCAGCAGCGCACACACCTTCGCCTGGTGGTGCGAGATGTCGTTCGGCTGCCGCTGGATCGCTCGCTCGAAGCACGCCGTCGACGCGTCGTGCAGCTGAGCTGTGAGTGTGTAACCACTGTAAGGTTACGTAGATGTAGCTCACGGCTGTGAGTGACTCACAGCCGTGAGCTACATCTACGTAACCTTACAATGGTTACACACTCACAGCCGTGAGCTACATCTACGTAACCTTACAATGGTTACACCTTACAATGTCTGCACCTACATCTATGTAACACACTCACAGCTGTGAGTAACCATTGTAAGGTTACGTAGATG